TATATGTGTGTGTGTGTGTGTGTGTGTGTGTAGATATATTTAGTATATTTCTTTCCAAGACATTTATTTATATTATGTTTCCTTTACTAATTTTGTTTCTTTAAGTTACTTAAAAATCTTGACAGGCCTAGTTTGAAAACAAACTCCAGTTTTTGGTATCATGTTGGCAGAAGTACAAGAGGAAAAATGAGAGTCTATGTAGGAGGGCCTTTTAGTATTGACTTTGACAATGGGGGACTTTAAAGTTACAAAGTTTGAGAACCAATGATGTAGAGGTCCGTAATGCCTCATACTGTGGCATAAAATAAAAGATTCTTGTCAAGTATCATATGCTCTATTTTCAGACCATGATGCAATCCAGTAGGGAGTGACGGAAAACCGTGACTCATGGTCCTAAACACATCTGTGTGCTCTGTGGTATCCGAACATCATTCAAGTCTTTGTCCAATAAATAAAAACACAGATGGCAATAATAAAGACACCCATCCAAAAAATTAATCAATGTATCTGACAGAGTAAACCTCAAAAGGACTGTTCTTGGCTAATGCCTGCCTCAGTCCACTGTATGATGTAATTCGGTCAAATTGAGCAACAGACCTGTTTTTGTCGGGAAACACTGCTCTGTTAATCAGATGACAGCTGTCATGGTGAATATCTTCCACTGAAATTTACTCAATCATTTATAAATATATGAAGGATAATGTACCGTCAAATGCCATTATTACAAAAGCAATTTATTTTGCAATAATGATTATCTGACTGTACATGATCCCGCTTAATACAGAGCTACAAGTATTCCAGAATGTCATATAATAATTTGAAAAATATTACTATTTACAAGAAATGTTTGATATCAGGTTGATACTTTAAGTAGTTTTAATTTGATAAAAATGAATAAACACAATTTCTACTTCATGTTTCAAAAGTCCTCCATAGTGTCTCAGGGAGGCATTTAAACATGAATAAATGCAATAGATTTTCACAAGCTAAAATTCTTTGATAGATGTAAAAGCACCATTTTTTTTTTATGTATTTTTCATGCATGTTTTCAACATGTTTTGATTGATGTGGAATTAACTCCAATTACAATATCTTGGATAACAATGGATTTTTTTTTAAATGTGCATGTGTATTTTTAGATGAAGAGGGTTAAAACTTCAGTAATATTAGCCCAAAGGGCTTAAATATGTCAGAGCAACGTGTTCAAAATATTGTTAATTTTGGAATTACATTTACAGTATCATGGTCTTATCATAGGACCTAAACTGACAGAATCTCAACAGAACAAGAATGTGAAATTGTGCCTTGATTCTAACCATGACTTTCAAATAGGCATGTGCCAGAATCCGAATAATGACATCGGAGATGACATGTACTACAGAACACCTAAAGGGAATAAATACGACATTCCATAGAATGCATCATTCGTTTTCCATGCCTTTCCGAATACGGATTCACTACTCGGTCACATCCCTACTTCCAAAATCCACTTTACCTTCTTCTCTGTCCTGTTAGGTCAAGGAGAGTTTTCCGTGAAATTGACCGGAACTGCACCTGCACCTGCTGTTTCCATGATAACAACCTCTTCTTCTGCGTCTCTGTGAAGGCCTGTGAGAGGTGGGAGAAGTGAGACATCAGAGAAGTGAGAGACTCAGGATTTCCATTCCAGCTCAACACTGCTCAACATACTTTACACCTCATAACTGATCCGTGCCTAATGGGACTATGTCTGCTTATTCTAAAATTTAGCATGTAATTTGTTCAGAAGTTTCAATAATAAGGATAACACAAACCAGAAAAGGGAACTGTATGCTCACCATCTGCTGACCTTGACAGTCTCACATGAGAAACTTAATTTGGATAAAAGCACCTAATAAATGGCTTAAACATCATGAAATCAAAATTAATGTTTAGTGAATTTAAGTCTACATTTATTAGCTGGCATCATTTATATGCTAATGCTAGCATACTCCCTAAAATCTGAAATATATTTTTTTATCTGATACACTCTTCAAAATCTCGAATCTTCCCGATAAGATGACTGTAAATATACATATATAAAATATTATAGTATTTATTAATATTTTGAGTTAGATTTTACTTTTATATTATCCATTTTTATTTTTATTTTAGTTTCAGTTTTGTAATTTTTCTGTGCTTACATTTCTATTTAGCTTTATTTTTATCTCTGCTTTAGTTTTAGTAATTTTAATGTTTTGACTTGAACTTATTTCAGTTGGTTGCCAACATTTCTAATTTTCGATTAAGGTATTTCAGCTTTACTTTAATTACCGAAAAACGATTTTTAATAGTTATAGTTTTGGTTAAAAATAACAACACTGGTTCACTAACTATTTTACTTCCATTGTGTGACATTTTTCTGAGTGGAACAGGATATTCAACAAGTAAGGACTTGATTGAATCCATTGGGAATAATATAAAGCGGATGAATTTTCCACAATAAGACCAAGAAGTTTCATGTATTAATAAATGAATTAATGGCTATTTGGATTTCATGAACACTCACCTCATGGATTAGGCACTTATCAATAAGCTGTAGGTAGGAACTAATGTTCTCCTCATCTGACCCGGAGACAAGGAGCTGTGTGCAAACTGTCACAAAAACAGAAAGAAAGAGTTAAAGTCACATTTATTAAAAAAATAACTTCTAAGACAATGGCCAAACTATATTACTTTCAATCTGCTATGGTTATGGAAAACTCAACAAGAGTTGAGGGAAGTAAAATACATAATCTTTGTCTGACATCTTCTGACCCATTTTTCTGTCTGTAAGATAAAGTTGTTTGGAAATGGCTTAAAACCTGATGACCTAAACATTCCTAACAGCCTCAAATGACTCTCAGATTACGGGAAGAACTACGTGTGAACCTTTGCCCATGACGCGAGTGAATTGAGCAGGGATGTCTCCCTCGGCTATGACCGTGGAGCTGCCCTCCGTCTCTCCTCCGCCCAGGTGGGAACTGGCCATGCTGCTCTTCCCCTCTGCGCTCAGCAGGTGGCGCTGTGAAGACTCCTCTGTGCTGCAGGCTTTAATGGGTGTCTGGATGATCTGGTGGAGCTCCTGCAAAGGAGCACGTAGATTCCCTCCCTCCAAAATATCCTGAAAGAGAGAGAGATGACAAATGAGTGGATGCATGCGTAGTTGTTATATTCAAGGTTGTGGAGCAGTATTATTTTGGACACTTCCATAAATTCAATACGGGCAACTGTTGGGATATTTCAGACATGTAATGAGGCGGAAAATGACTTGCGAGGACAAAATGAAGGTCTACCAAAAATACGAGCATGTTTGTTTCCCCGTCACACGGTGCGACTCTTAACAGGGCCGACATATGCGGGACATTAAAACTTTAAATGGACCCAACTATCAGGAGGAGGTGTCTTATTTCTGATGCTACAAATGCATCGAGATGGAAAGCTTGATGAAAAGGTTGCTCTGAAATTAGACATCTGGCTCCTTCCTGTCTCTTGTTGTTTCGAATATCGTGTCCTTAGATGACATTTAATAATTAACACACATAAAAAGTGCATGTGAAAATGATAATGGCAGAGGTTTAGTGTGGAACTGCAGTTAAAGATCAAGGCTGGATACTGAAAGGTTAAAGATTCAAACCCAAATCTGAAACAGTGAAAAAGTAACCACAGTATGAATGACTGCAAATGTAAAGACTGTGATTGACAGGTCTGTGCACAAAAACAAAGACTATGAGTCAGAATAAACTGACATGGGGAGAGCGAGGCTCTGACCTTCTCCAAACAGCGTAGCATGTTTTGTCTGTCTTTCAGCTTCTGAATACTGATGATGATCTTGTGCCGTGCCCCTTTGGTGACTTGCTATATCAGAAAAAAACAAAATAAAAGCTGACATGTTCATACTATGCAAAGCTGCTACAACATATAAAATGTACAAATCTATATATGTACAGTACATACATGATGGATAAAATATATAAGATTCCCCTACAATCAATAGCCAAATTTCACACATAAAAATTGCCATAAATTTGCCTGATTAACTTTTCCAATAAGGCCCTATATTTATTATTCCACAAGGACACGAGAAAAAAAAAAAAAAAACAGAACATGGTTTCACTAAAATGAGAATTTAAAATTATTTAAATCACGGCCAGGTTGTAATAATCAGTTCCCTCATTTTAATTGAATTAAATCATAGTCACAATTTACCTAAAATGAGGGAACAAAATAAATTATGGGAACAATTTTTTTAATTTGTGGCCAAGATATCTTTTGGATATATATATAAGATATATAAATATAATTCAAAAGGGAAAACAAATGTATTTTTCCTACCCTATTTGCATTTTTTTTTTTTTCATATTTTAATCATAAACCTCAGAAAATTGTGGTTGATTTCTCTAAACACAAGACCTGTTATCTTACATCAGTTTGTAAAAACATCTTAAAGTAAATGTATCTTATTTTGCATATGTTCAATTATTCATACTGGAATACAAGACAAAAATATTGAACAGGAAAGTCATTTTTGCAGCGTAGCAAAGAAACGCATACAGGGTCAAAACACCAACCTGAGCTTCCAACTTCTGCTCCGTCATTGACATCATCTCATCATAGGTCATGGTGGAGAAGAGCCCAGCGTACTTATGGAGACGGAGACTCTTCAGCCATGACGGCACATCTGAGAGTGACATCACATAGTTTCAGATGAAAAGCAATGCAGGATAAAATTTCTTGTGAGTGACCTAGTTTTTACAGGTCTGGGCTCATCATGACTGATTAGACCAATTATTTATTTTTAAGATCTGTTTACTTGTCATAAAAAATAGTCTCCTGTTTGGTCAAGTTTCAAATGCACATAAACAATTCTGTGGCTCACCCCTCATCCCGCTGCCCTCCTCATGGAATGTACTTCGGACAGCAGCGTGTTCCTCCAGGTGCTCGCTGCCTCCGCTGCCCGAGGACGCCACGCTGCTCTGAGGAGAGATGGGGGCGTGGTCAGGGGCCGGCCCGCGGGGACGCAGGTCCTCCTGGGAGAGCCATCCGTGCCCCAGAGGCTGGTTAGATCCGCCGCTCATCGGAGGGGTCAGAGACACTGAACGCCTCAGAGGACTGTGCTGCCCACCCGACAGGACTGTGAGAAAACAAACATGCGGCGTGAGATCAGGCCACAGGGATCATCATGAACACAAACAAGTCAGGACCGTTATATTTCTGGAAACTTCTGTCAAAAGCTTCAGATTTACAAGCTACGATTAGTAGCTCTGTTGTCTCTAAGCAGACATAAGGGTGAACTTTTTAAAACATACTATTTTTTGTCTAGTCAGTGTGGACAATCAGGCGGTCGAGTAGTACCGAGTGGTTACACTAGACTTTAAGCATGCAAAATTATTTTGGACTGCAATGAATATGAGCAACAGGATATGAGTTCATATTCCAGGGCTATTTTGAATAATAAATAATAATGAGTTCAAAATGTTATACCATCTAACATACCATCTATTCCGTATTTAAGCACCACTGCATACCATGCATCTCTAATTTTAAATATTATAATAATCCATTAGTGATTACGATCCACTAGATCTATTAAAGATTTTATCACAGATTTTGTCTTTGAGAATGAAATAACTGGAAAATTATTGCCAGATGATGAGACTATTTGAATATTAAATACATTTAAAATATTTTTTATTGTTAAAATATTTTTGTTGTTGTTTACACTAGTGTTATCCATAAACTATTACAGTATTTCATATTTTGAATGGACTTTTATTTATATTTTCAGATTTCATTTTAATTTTGTCATGTCATCTTTTGTCAATTACATCTTTTGTAATTTCTATTAGTTTTTATATATATGTTTGTATTTAGTTTTAATTTATATTTATTTCAGTTTGTTTTACTCTTCAGACTGCGTTTTTTCAGAAGTGTTTTTGTTTTTCAGAAGTTTTAAATTGAGTTAAACTGTAACAGTAACAAAGTTATAAGCTGCATGTTTTTTGACTCCTTTGGGATCTGACGACACCGCTCAAGCTGTACATTTTTGATTCACTAAAAAGAACCGACTCATAAGAGTCATTCGTTCGGGAATCCGACTACACTGCTAAAGCTCTACAGTGTGGTTTTGATTCACGACAAAGAACACAAAGAAGAAACACTCATTCACAGTCTGAAATATTTAGAACCAGTTCTGAATAAAAGTTCCTGGTTCCAACACCTAGTGGCAGGTAAAATATGCGTTATTAAAATCAGTTCATCTTCACAGACTCCATTTTCAAGTAGACTCACTTGGATTCTTAAACAACTTTCATGGCAAACAAGCACAACCCAATGTCAAACGCATTCAGATTCAGTCTGACTAACAGCCTCTGTAGCACTAAATTGCTTTAGCCAGCACAACCAACACAAGTTTATTTGTTTCCACTAAGGGGGGAAATCCTGGCAAACCAAACAAGCTGCAAGTCTTTTCCATTGCACCTACTAAAAAGGTGAGCCTGTCTTCCTCTTCTGGAACATTCGACCCCGTGGTGGGTGAGAGGAAAGAGGAAACAAACAGAGAATGAGATGGAGAAGATATGTTATGGGCCGTGTGAAGAGCCTTCTCTCCTATATACGGCTGTAAATGTTTGGACTATGTATAGGTCTTCGCGGGCTAGTTTAAAATAGGTGCCCAGCTTACATTACAGTCCCCAAATATTAGCCATTTTCCCTAAATGCAAACCCCCACAAAGGATACCTTACAAGGGAAGAGCTGGGATGGTATGTGGTGCTTAGTTGGGGAGGTGAGAGGGTGTTTGTGTGAGTAAAGAAAGAAGGACACAGGATGCTGTTCTAATTCAATTTACAAATGTTCAATGGTGAGCATGTGGAAAAAATTTACAATGTTTAAAGATGTTCTTATATAATGTTACATTTTATTCTTTGTCAAGGAGACAATCATGATTAAGGGTTTGTTGTAAAGAAGTAAATTGATTAAACCTGTTTCACTTTGTTGATCTGATACCGTAAATGGACTAAAGAGAACTGACTGAATCCCTCATTATAAAGTATTATTAATATACTGTATACATATTATAATTTATAATATTTTCTTTAAAGAAAATAAATAAATAATAAAATGTATTAATAAATAAAAAACCTATATATAAATAAAGAATTTAGCGCCAATTTCACTTCGACCTGATACACTACATGGACCAAAATCACAATGAACTGAATGAATCTGTCATTATTATAAATATACTGTAAGCATATTATAATTTATAATATTTCATTTGGATAAATAAATAAATCATAAAAAAAAAATATATATATATATATACCCTCTGTTCCATTTTTGAGTACCACTGCAAACCATGCAGCTCTTACTTTAAATTGAAGAACTTTATTACATGAATCCATTGGTGATTACAATCCACTAGATCCATTAATGATTTTCTCACAGGCTTTGAGAAAAAAATAACTAGAAAATAATTACTAAAGGATGAGATTATTATACTATTAAATACATATATTTTTTTATTGTTTACACTGGTGTTGTTTTAGTATTATTTATACTCTACTATAGTATTATTTGTCATGTGCTAATGCTTTAGTATTTTTTTTAAGTTTTATTTAAATATTTGTTTTTCGTTTTAATTAGTAGTTTTAATTAAAATCCTAATGAACATATCAAATCTGTCTCTACAAAATATAATAAATACATAAATATTAAAAGTTATCATATTTCTCACATATATATTTCTCAACCCGTAGCGCTGGTGGTGGGGATAGAGGTGTGGAGGCTGCCCATGGTGGGATGAAGGCGCGCGCTCAAGGGAGTCTCCAGTTCCTCGGGCGGCCGCCCGCTCCTCCAGGTGGTTGAGCCAGAGGGCGAGGTTCCCCCGGTCCTCGAGGGAGGTTGCGGGGTGGATGAGGGCGTAGGACAGAAGCTGCCTGCTTTCCTCTAAGTGCCGGCCATGTTCGATGGTGTGGCCCAAGATCTTCGGCAGGAGACTCATGTACTCCACTTTGGCCTCGACGTTGCCCGGTTTAAGGAGAGGCAGGTGGGTCAGAACCAGAGAGATGACCCGTTCTTTAGACTCACTCTGCCACTGACTGATCACCACTGCAAAATAAGAAAAGGAAGAAGGTTAGCATAAGTTTACAGAAAAGATCATCTTAAAAATAAAATAAAATAACTTCAAAGTTTCACATATGTTTCCAGAAAGAACACCTTCAAAAAAAAAAAAAAAAAAAAAT